TTCTTAATCAATTAAAAATTTCTTTCACTTCGGATATAACCAACAAAGACTTAATCATTTTTAAATCGATTTTTGATTACTCTGTTTGATACTCTTTTGGTGTATCAAATCAGTTCCAATTTCAGTTTGCACAAAATTCATCTCATAATATATAAGAACGAGGCATTCTCCAAGGATATGAGGGCTACAGTGTTTAATCAGTGAAAATCGTTTTATTGTATTTCGAAGTATTCTTCAAGATGATCAATACATTTTTGTGTTTATTTGAACCAATATTCGATACAGTTTAGCCATTCTGAAGTTGGTATCTGTAAAGCCACGGCTCGTACATTTTATTCTTAATGTTTGGGAATAAGAAGACCTTACTGAGGTAAGGGACTGTAAGATGGAAGAAGGGACTGAGGTGTACAAAAACTGTTTTGTTTGAAATGAAGTATTGGAGTTCGCGATATTGTGGTAGTGGATAATCTATTTTCAAAGGTTGGCTTTTCTCAATTATCCGAAGACTTCCGGCAAAAAAATGGTTCTGTACCATTCAGAATTGATCGTTCTACGTTCGGCAATTAGTACAAATGCAACATGACCAATTTTGCTAAAAAAATATGCTTCCGTTTGCTTGGATTTCCTCCGTACGTGAATAACGTTTGTTGGGTGCTGCTTACTTTGGAAGACCCAAAAAGTAGATTACTGTTTTGTTTCGGGCTTATAGGCGTAGATTCGTGATTCGACACCTATCACAATGTTGTAGACGTATTTTGACAGTGAACCAGTTATCACTCCAAACATTGTTTTAAAATCCAATCTGTTCACATTTAGCAGACATTTTTTTTTATTCGTAAAGTATTTTGGGAAGAAGGGAAGAACAGCATCCTGCTTTATTAGATCATTTGTGGTTGTGTTCATTGGTAAAGTATAGTTTGGCTCCGACCAATGTGACTGTATTGAGACAGTCTTTCTATCCAATTTAGCTGTCCTGTGCCCTGTGCAGGGCTTTACATGATATGTAATATTAACATTAAATATGTTTACCTTTAGATAAAGATCTTTCAATTCACAAGGTTTTAGTTCAGATTTATTGAAAGATATTTCTTTGTTCTATTAAGGTAGCTATTAAGCCTCTCGTTTACGTTTCTATCCTCTGATTACTGGATTGAAGTTTCCATTCACATTCAAGAATTTAGTTCAGATTTATTGAAAGAAATTTATTTGTTCTATTAAGGTAGCTATTAAGCCTCTCGCTTAAGCCTCTCTCCCCTGATTACTGGATTGAAGTTTTCACATTGGTGTGGAAATCTTTTCCATTCATTCTTTAGAGGTGTTTTAGTGGCTTCAAGTCTCACATGGTTCTATTATATTATATTATATTACTATTATTACTATTATACTATATTCTTAGTACAAAAGATCCAGTGTGTCTCATCGCAATACACTGCGCCACAAAAAGCCCGGAAACATGTTATACGTTGTATTATTATTTTCTTTCTTTTTTACAAATATTATTTGAGTCTCACTACTTTAAAAGAATATATAATTGCCGTAATATTATTTACTTAATGCAAAATAAATAAATAAGTTTTTCTTGACATCTGCGATAACTTTTTATTACAATTGACATGAAAATTGTTATTTAATTTTATTTTCTCTTATTATTGTTTTTTTTTTTAATTACATATTTTTATTTTTTTTTTAAATAATTTTGTTGTTTCTGTAAGTTTGTAATAATTTTATTGCCTTAGTTTAAGTATGTTAATAAAATTAAATTGCACAAATTTTCGTAAATAGTCTCGTTATCTGCATCCACACAAATCATATACAAATTGGCATGAAATGAATGCAAAAATACAATTTTATTGCATTTTACAGAAAATGTTGTAGATAATGCAACTCATTGAGATATTTTAGATATCTCTGAGATTTTTAGTTCAAGCGCTTGCCTACTTTAATTGCTTAATTGCAACTAATCGTATTTTTAGAAATAAATTCTTTTGAAGATTTTTCTTACACTTTTGTGATATTTGTATTTTTATCTGTGTTAAAATAATTAAATGTATCTCGAGATATTGCCATTAATTGTTGGATATGAGTTGACATTTGCACACAGTGCAAATATATACATTACAAATATTATCTTAAGATAATTATAAATAATTTTTATGTTTTTATGAATCATATTTTTATGAATCCAAGACGTCATCAGTTGCGATGATAAGAGATTTTGAGTTTAGAAGATACATCTAAAGAGTACATTATTTATATATTTACTTCACAATTATTTATTAAATTTTTATCGTGAAAAGAATTTTTTTTTTCCTTAAACTTTTTCTTAAAGTCATTTGAAAATCAGTGAAATATATCTTAACATGTGTCAATTTAAATATCGCCTCAAATCGTGGTGTTGATTTTTCCGAAATGTATACGCCTAATTATCTTTAATTTGCAGATAAGATATTGTCAGAGCCTGAGTAGCTAGCGAACTTGGTTAACTCAATCGAAAGATATTATTATTGTTTATTTGAAGTACTAATTTCAATTAATTAACATTGTTAGTAAAGTAATTCGTATAATATTTTAATAAAATATATTTGCATATAAACTCGAAAAAAAAGTCATTTTTGTGATTTGTTTATTTAATTACTTTTCATACAGAAAAAAGTCTGTCTAGAAAAATATTAGTGCTTTGAAAAATATTAAACTATCACGAGATTTGCTCAGCAGATTAACGTGAAGCATATTTAATATGAAATCGATCGACTGTGTAGTTATTGTGTTTTTTCATTCGTTCAACTAAATTTAACAAGTCATTTATAAATATATATTTTGACTAATCTATTAGTCACATCCAATAACAATGTATTAACACCTGCTAATGATACTCTGAAGTGTTGTGGGTCTTTGTGTTTTATTAGCTTCATCATTCTGAACTGAATAATAGAAATGTCACTAATCAATTTACTCCAGCATCAAAGGAAGTTTTTTATTTTTTATTTGAGTTTTGACATGCAGAAATTAAATCGAAATATGATTATTAAATGATCATGTCTATAATGAAGATAATTATTATTATTATTATATTGAGGGAAGTTGAGTCAGTGCACCTAAGCACTTTTACTCTATA